GAGAGTGCTGTAAGTGCTATGGGGCAGTATATAAGCAGCACACTTTATGAAGAGAATATGCAGCCACTGTGCCTCCCACATCACTACACCAATTGACCCATTCTCATTTTCTACACGCTACAAGGCAATGCCACAGTTTCATTTGCCACAGAAGAGAGTTTTCATAATGTACAAAGGGACCCGTGCAACAGCAGAGCAGAAGACTCTTGGTGCTGCCAAGCTTTTTCAACAGGAAAGCAGCATGTTCAAGAAGACATGGCAGCCCTTAGGCACAGTGAACTGGTGATCAGATATGGACCTGGAAGATGCAGATTCAATGAGCCACTTATTCAGAATCCCACTTTTTCTAGCTTAAATTTTTATATTAGTATGAAAACGGAAGAAGAATTGCAAAGTACTGTGAGTACCTGAACGGTTCAGATCTTTAAAAGTTAGTGCTGGGAGTCAAAACTTTCCGTTTGAACAGTCCTTAGATGCCCTATCCTCTCGCAGTGCCCAAAAGGTAAACAATCAATTTACTTATGTTACATACAAGGCATTTTTTAAAAAGCATGTTGACCATCAGAGTGTTGTCTACACTGTCTCCTTTTATCAGAAAGTAACTGCAAAAGGAAGACAAAATCGTGTCAGGATAAAGGTGATGAAAAATCTGAGAAATCTCTGTGGAATGTCCTTACATCTGCAGTCCGATTTTTCAATACAAATGTATGGAGCACAAGAAAAAAAGAGGACAATTAGAATAACATAAGCCTTGTGCTTCCCAAAGATATAACAGGTGTCTTCACTGTTTTTGGAGGGACATTTACAAGGGAGAGATCATGCAATCTCAACCATAAAACAAGAACCAGGGCCCTCCCACAGCAGTCACACAATCTTTTATAAGAGTGATCTGCTTCCCACACTGATAAAGATGTCTGGATGAAGCTTAGGCTCATTCCTGTAGCAAAGAATCTTAAGTGATCTGCGAATTAAAATGAAGCACCACAAAACTCCATTATTTTCCTGCAGGACTCAGCAGGCAGTCTGCAGCAGGATTCAACCAAGTTATCCCATATTAGTAAATAATTCTCCATTCTACAGGCTAATGACCAGAAATGATTAATTGATATAATAAGCACATGAACAAAAGCAAACACACATAAAAAATCTAAAACTTCTCTAAACAGCCCAATCATTACATGCAATTTTCCCCTTAATCTTTCAAAAGATACAAATTTGAGTTTTGGCAAGTCTCAAAGATTAAAGGCACTTTACCTTTATGGGACAGTCAATATCAACTCGATACGTACCGGAATGCCTCCTCCCACCTAGACCTACCCGAATCACTCATTTTAGCCAGGAAGGGCGGCTGAGGGGCCTAACACCGAGGGAGGCCTGGAGAGAAAGAACAAGAAATCAGGCCTTCTCGGCAGTGGCCCCTCGCTTTTGGAAAAGTCTGCCCCCAGAGATCTTTCCGTCTCCCTTGCTGGGTGTTTTTAAGAACGAACTTAGGACCTGGCTCTTTAGGCAGGCTTTCCCCCCTGTCATCACCTGAATATTTTTCCCATCTTGAACTATATTACTACTATTGTTTTTATTTTATTATATTGTTTTTATTTTGCCTATTATTGTTAGCCGCCCAGAGTAGACTTTGGTCTAGATGGGCAGGGTATAAATTTAATAAATAAATATTAAAGTCTACACTGTCCAAAACGTGCACACAAATTGCAGAGTAAAGATAGCATTTTTTGTGGAAAATGATACAGATTATATTGTAGTCTCTTGGATGCACAAAGTGATTGCTAATCAACCACATCTTTCTTTTACAATGTTCTGCTCTCATCATTTGTTTGGTTTTAAAATTAGCTCTCGATGAAGACACTTGACAGCAAGGACAGGTTCCCGTCATTTTGCAGAGAACACAAGAGATCAGTCATAAGGTAGAAAATAAGTTGCTGGGGAGAATATGACAAGGTTGTAAGACATGCAGCTTCTCCAATATGTGAAATAAGCTATGAGTCCAATTGTGGTTCTCTCAGGTCATTGGGAGTTACTGTGTAAACCTTTCATTCATATCTCAAGCCACTGCTGTTGCAGATGTGCAGGGAAGTGAAAATTCATACAGTACTTGCCCCAGGAAATCTACTGTTTTCAACTTTTTTTAGCTCCAGCTGGTACTATTTTACAAAAGAATTGTTAGTGTTATTCTAAGTTCTAAAACTACAATTCTGTGTAGTGTAATATGGGAATAAGTCACACTGCATATACTGAGATGCACTTAGAAGTAGACCTGCATAAGATCAGAGTGCACACCTCTCTCTAAATCATTCACTGCCAAAGAATACACCTAGACACTATATTTTAGTTAAGCAAATTCTAATAGCTTTTCTTGTAATATACCCATGACTCTAGATATTCATGCAGCAATTAATGTTCAGTAAGGAAATTGTGCCTTGTTAGTGGATATGGTAGCAGTACTACAGTAGGGCCTTTCAAAATGACTGCTAGTCATATAAGATGGTTTTATGCTCTAAAATGCACTAATTATGCAACACACCCCAAAGAATCCTTGTGGTACATTCCAGATTGACAGATTTGTTTCAGCATGATTTTCCGTGGGATTACAATCCGTCTCCTCGGATATACAAAATCCTTCGCCTCAGTAGCTGTGGTAGAGACAGAAACGACAGTAACAACACAGCTTTCTTGTGCCTCAGCTCACTCCTGTTTAAAAGGGAGTAAGAACCTTAAAGGGACTATTCATCCAGCATTCTAAAGAGATGTCAAAACTGACTTCTCAGGCCTTGGCAATGGCTATCTGTGGGCATCCACGCTCTCAAAAAGAGCACCTCTTGCCTTTCTCTGCCAGGTCTTGGGAGACAGTATGGGATGGAAGGTGAATACACCCCATTCAGCACTCCATTGTGAGAGGAGGCCAGGTTGCAAGAAGCAAGGTAAAAGGCATGCTTCATCTCCTGGGAAAACAGAAAGAGTATTTATTGATTGACTGATTGATTGATTGATTGATTGATTGATTGATTGATTGATTTGATTTGATTTGATTTATTTGATTTATACCCCGCCTATCTGGTCTATTCGACCACTCTAGGCGGCTTCCAGTATAGGATAAAACAATAAAAACACAAGAACATTACATAATCATTTGATACAGTTAAGTTAAAATAGAGTGAGAATAAAATAAGAAGGAATAGAAAAGAAATCAGGTATTGACTGGAGGGAAGGCCTGGATGTACAACCATGTTTTTAATTGGGTTTTAAAGATGCCCAGCATAGGGGCCGCACGAATCTCTAAAGGGAGGTTGTTCCAGGGGCGAGGAGCCACCACCGCGAAGACCCGGTTTTGTGTCTTTTCCTTCCAGGCCTCTCTCAGCGTCAGGCTCCTCAGCCTCACCTCCTGACTCGCACGGGTGAGCCGGGTAGACCTTGGTGGGAGCAGGCGTTCCGCCAAATATCGAGGTCTTAAACCGTTTAGGGCCTTTTAAGTAAGCATTAAGACTTTGAAGTCGACGCGGAAACGAATGGGCAGCCAATGCAATGCAGCCAGAGTTGGAGAAATACGTTGGTATTTTCTCACTCCAGTAAGGAGTCTGGCTGCCGCATTCTGAATCACCTGAAGTTTCCGCATCAGCCTCAAAGGTAGCCCCACGTAAAGCGTGTTACAGTGGTCTAATCTTGAGATTACGAGCTCATGCACCAAGATAGTGAGTGCCCCCATGGGGCCGCAGGCGGGCGATCCGCCAGAGGTGGAAAAAGCCGGTGTGGACTACCAACGCCACCTGCGTTTCCATAGTGTCGGGTCCAGATGTACGGCCAGACTGCGGTTCCCACTCTTCGCGGCCAGGGTCACCCCCCCTCCCAAACGTGAGAGAGGCACCCAAGCCACCAAAGAAAACACGTGGCAACATATCAGAAAAGAGACATCCCAACCACATCAGATTTATAATAATCATGTGCCACTGAGGCAGTTCCAACTTACAGCTACCCTCTCAGGACATTCTGTATATAAATTACGCATCAGTGGCTTACTAGTCCCTCCTTCTGGGGGGCTCTGGGACCACAACTTGCCCACTATCCACACACACTGTGTTTGATCTCTGTTGGCCCCTCTTGCAGGAGACATGGTGGAGATTTAAACTTCCACCCTCCTGCTTTACAGTCATATATTCCAAGCCACTGAGCTCTCTACCTGTGTGTCTCTACAAGCAGTTACACTTCATTCATTATTACTTGACAGAATGCCAGTTTCCAGTTATTTATGGGTGCAGTTGTGGTCCGATTCTATTTCTTTGCCTCATCACACTTCCACGATTTATTTGTAAGGCCTCTCTTGCCCCGTTTGGCCGCGCAAGCGATTAAACGAATTTCTATATTAACCTACAAAAAGTCATTACTTTCCAAATGGCTTAACAAACACACACGCGGAGTTTAGAAGACGAGTTCGCGCTTGCTTAATGAACTTACTGCCTCTCTGCCTACAGACCAGCCCGTCTAGCAGCACCGGGGGGGGGGGTGGCGGTCAGGGGAGGATCGCCTCAGGTCCTGATCCACAGCAACCATAAATTCAAGAATGCGGGCTCCGCTATGCGCGGTTCAGAAGGGCGGCAGATGCATCGCGGCTGCCCAACCGTTCCCACGGGTATTCGCTGCTGCAACAGCAGCCACGGCAGGAGGCGAAGTTCAACTCTGTCCCTATCACCCTTTGGAGATGATGAACGGGATTTCTCAAAGCTAGTGCTTCCGTCGGGCCTGGCTCTTTTTATCCTTTCGCTACTCAAATTACTCCTCTCCATTCATTCTTAATCTGCTTCATTTTAATCGCAGAGAGCCAGCAGCAGCGGGGAAGCTGCGAGACACTTTGCCGCTTGCTGGGGTGTTCAAAAAGATCTTCTCAAACCTGTAGTTCAGGAATAACGTGCCCACTGACAATGACTAGATCGCAGGGGGCTTAGACTACGAGTTACCCAGGCAACCTTTACTAGATTGGCGAGAGGAAATGTTACCTGCTGCCTGGAAAATCTCCAGCCCCCGGAACAGTAGCTCACTCTGCCGCGACTGTCATGCTGTAGACTGAGCAGCTCTTCCTTTTCCCGGTACCTTTCTCCGGCTGACTAGCCTCGCGGCTAGCAAACCGGCAGACACCGCATGGGCGCGTCATTTCCTCCGTCGGCTTCCCGAGAGCCTCCAGATTGTAGTTTCTTGGCCCTCTCCTCCTCCTCCTCCCCGTAACTGAAAGCAATCACCGAAGCCTGTGGAAATTGCCACGTGGGGGAATACCGGGTCCCGACTTATATGCCACGTTGTATGATTTTGGAAGTCAAAAAGAAATCATGTGAAGTATGTCTGGGCCCACTGGGGAAGTTTGCAAGCCACAGCAGCATTTAAAGATAATGAAGGGAATTGGATGGGACAAAAAATACATAAAAAGTTTATTTATTTATTTATTCAATTTTTACCCCACCCCTCTAGACAACGTCTACTTGGGGCGGCTTACATAGTTAAAAAAATCAAAAAAACATATATAAAAATACAATTACTGTATAACAATTCAAAACAACACATTTCCAAGATGGCATGACTCGAGGAAGAAAAAAGAAAGAAAAGGGTCGGTGTTTTGTTTTAATTCGGTTTCAGTGAACAAGGGACTTGTGACAATTACCTTCTTAGGTATTCTATGTTGCAGAGCTTTGTATTTTTGTTTAAATTTCTCTAGCTGCACAGCAGAAAAGCGGGGATTCACAGAGCTGAATAGTTTCAAGTTCCCTGGAGTAATCTATGCTTTTTCTCTTTAACTGGCACAGTTGCAGTAACTCATAGAGACTTAAAAGGAGAAAGAAAGAAAATTAGTACTTACAATTGTGAACAGCTCGAACAGCAAACTGGCAAACATGACTGCTTTCGACTACTTTCAGTAAAAAGATTTCAAAAGACTAGACAGACAAAGAGCTCAGAGTAAAAGGCAGGGCTCACTTTAAGAGGAAGGAAGGAACAATAAGTTAGTGTTGGATAGATTGACAGTTACCTCAACCCAAATAGCTCCCTTCCAGCCATACCTTCTCTGTAAGGTTGTAAAAACTTCGGCATTCTATACATTTGGAGTCTATTTTATCAAAACCCGTGTCCATAATGAGGCATAATACATGCCTAAATAATTGCATAATCACATGAGCAACTTTTTTTAAAAAAGGGAATATTAATGTGTGACCAGACTCCTATTGGTGTTCACATAAAGTCTGCATAACTTGCCACAACTAATTATGGTTAATTGGCAAGGTGCTGGGGTGCATTCAAATTTCTGCAGAAACAGGTATGAGACTAGGAACGCAACTGATTTAGGATGAGACACTAACAAGGCAAACTGAGGCAATTTGGCTTTGCTGTGATTTGATTCACAGCTTGTACCCTAGTATAGCCGCAGTCTTAAAACTGTATTGCCATACAGAACATAAGAAGAGCCCTGCTGGATCAGGTCCCAAGAGCCCATCTAGTCCAGCTTCCTGTCTCTCACCATTGCCATACAGAACATAAGAACATAAGAAGAGCCCTGCTGGATCAGGTCCCAAGAGCCCATCTAGTCCAGCTTCCTGTCTCTCACAGTGGCCCCACCAGAGGCCTCTGGGAGTACACGAGACAACTAGATACCGATCTCCTGATACCCCTCCCCTGCATCTGGCATTTGGAGGTACCTTCCTTTTAAGCCTGGAGATTGTACATCCCCATCATGGCTTGTAACCTGTGATGGACTTTTCCTCCAGGAATCTGTCCAATCCCCTTTTAAAGGCATCTAGGCCATCACCATGTCCTGTGGCAAGGAGTTCCACAGACTAACAACATGCTGGGTGAAGAAATATTTTCTTGTCTGTTCTCACTCTCCGTACTCTCAATTGGAGTGGATGTCCTCTCGTTCTGGTA